TTGTGTAGCTTTGTGCTTAATTAAAAAAAAACAAAAAACAAACAAACTACATATAATAAACTGATGCACGGGAGACAGAGGGGACATATCCCCCACTTTATACATTTATGATGGATTGCCTCCCTAACATTTCTATAGTAATAGTATATGATTACAGGGTGTGTGTTTTCTTTCGGAGAATATATTATTTATCCCCATTCTTATTTTGATTTGTATTATCTATGAAATAAATAATTTTTTCTTTTAAATTCACGTGGAGTAAATTCATAGATATGAAAGAGCTGTAGAAAATTGAAAACAAAATAAAAAAGTTAAAGTGCTGACACTGTAACGCCCTCTATACAATACACGCGGCCTATGACATCAGTAGGTGAAGTCGTCACGTAACCTGGTGGTTGTAATTTCATCAATAGATGAACGTCACAGTACATATCGTGAATGTTAAGTGACATCGTGAGTCATATTTTATGAATTTTTGTAGATGTTTTTTTTTTTCTGTTTTCTTGAAGGCAAGGTATAACCTAGATACAGGGCTTTATGGTTAATGATACCTTTGGTTAATGGTACGTATGGTTAATGATACCTTTGTGAATATGACTTGAATAATAAAATAGTTTGCATAAACTCTCCATATTTTTATAAGTGAATGTTTGTTTGTTTTGAATTTCGCGCAAAGCTACACGAGGGCTATATCTGCTAGCCGTCCCTAATTTAGCAGTGTAAGACTAAAGAGAAGGCAGCTAGTCATCACCGCCAACAGCCAACTCTTGGGCTACTCTTTTACCAACGAATAGTGGTATTGACTGTCACATTATAACGCCCCCACGGCTGAAAGGGCGACAATATTTGGTGGGGCGGGGATTTGACCCCGCGACCCTCAGATTGCGAGTCAAGCGCCCTAACCACCTGTCCATGCTGGGCCTGTAAGTGAATCAGAAAGAGATGTTTTTTTCTGTCAACGAAGTTTAACCAACCAAAAGCATTTATCATAAAGTACCTCACTGTTAGGTCATAAATCAATGTTTCATCTTACATGTAGTACTTCGAAACAAGGAGTCTATATAGTTAGTGTGAGGTGCCACTCGTTAACGTTAATTAATTTAACACTCGGCAGCGCCATCTGCCGTATCATTGCACAAACTACATTAAGACGGGAATAGACTACACGATCATATAACTCTGGTGTTTTGCATATAATGGAAATTTGTTGTTAACTAGAAAGAAGTAGCTTTCTTCAGGTTAGGTGATTGTGCAAAGCTTATGTTTTTGAACACGACATGGTATAGACCAGTGGTCGGCAACCTATGACCCGCGGCAATAATTTGGCTGACCCGCCAAAAGTTGGCTTCACCATTGCAACCCGTAAGGTCACAATCATTGTTCAGTTCAAGTTTCTCGGCTATGTGAGAAGACCAACGATATTAAAGGAAAGATGGGAAAGAGTCACGGCTACGGAGAATTTTAAGATCAATTTCAGGGAAAAATATCAAACTGGTCGAACTATTAATTTTTTTGTATGTAAATAAACATACACATTTAAAATACATGTACCGGTATTAATAATTATATGATTATCACTGACTCAACACAATGCTAAATTTAAAAAAATAATAATAATAATTGACCCGCGATCAAAAAAGGTTGCCGACCACTGGTATAGACCAAGGACTGTATCAAACGTTTGAAAGTCAGAAAACAAAGAATTAAATACAATTAAGAAAAACAGCTTTTTTTTATTTGACATAAAAAAATCATTTTATTTGAGACTATGAACTACAAATTAATATGGTAGTGGTGCCACTAAACTGACTGTTTGTTTCAAGAGTTATCTGCGCTAGCCATCCCTAGAAGGAAGGCAGCTAGTGGACACCATCCCCTGCCTTCTCTTTATGAACGAAAAGTAGAATTGATCATCACCCTAACAGCTGCAATGTTTGATGACGGGGTTCATAGGCAGATTACGAATTGAGCGCCCATGCAAGGCCCTCACTAAATTAATATTACAATATTTTAAACACAAAGTGTCACTTCCCCCAGATATACATATGATTTGCTTCACATTATAATAAACAGTCTCTTTCTTAAGATGTTCGAATTTTTTATCTCATGTTACTCAACAGTTAGTTTATGTTGAATAAGTACAATGTTATCCAATTCGCCATTAAAAGGGTGATCTTAGAACTGAAACTTTCAACCTAAAGGTTGACCTTATATGACCGTGACACATTTCTCCAGTCGTAAGACTACCAGCGACATTGTTGCAATTTAAATCGTTGGAAATTCGCCGTAAACCGAATATATAAGCCCTAAAAGTGTCGCTTGTGGCGCCACGGCTAGCATCTCTGTAGATATGTCACTGAATTAGAATGTTCAAATCGTTTTTGTAATATGCGATTAATCCTCTCTATAAACATTCTCTTCGTGTGTGAAAAATAAAAACGTTTAATGTTACTGAAATCAATATAAATGAAATTTCCGTACAATTTATCAAATCTCGGCAAGTATTCACTGTGTGCCGGATGTTGAAGCTTTCGTTAGTGACATCTATTTTCTAGAGTTCGGAATAGAAACTTTTGCTCAGGATAGGAATTATCGTCGTTGGTTATCATATTCTGATTTCTTCTATAGAGCTATCTGTTTTTGCTGCTTGGGCTTTTTTTTTTTTCTGCCAGCGAATTTTAGAGCCAGTCTTAGCTTAAATAATAATGTTAGAAAGGTGTTCACACCATAAAAACTGTCATTCTAGCAAATGGTTTATATAAATAGCGTTTTGACCATAACTGTGTTTGCTGTATTCCAGTTGACCTGATGAGTTCTGGTATTGAGCGAAACGCGTCGGCGGCTTTATTATTGTCTTATGACAAATCTAATTGATTATAAGCTCAGTTTAGTTTGCTTTACTATTGTCTTATGACAAATATATCTTATTTTAGGCTCACTTCGGTTTAATTCACTATAATCTTATGACAAATATATATTCTATTGTAGGCTCAATTCGGGTTGCTCTACTGTTGTCTTGTGATAAATATCATTGGTTATATTCATAGCTTGGTTTGATTTACTTTTTACTTGAATGAATCACATTTTTATACCTAGAAAAACGGTTGATTTTTCCACAAAAAAATTTGTTGAAAAACTTTGGTTTCAAAGAACATATCTTTCCTGCTTCTAGAGTGGAGCGACGTCTCAGCTTCGAAACGGATGCCTTCTTTATTTTCAACACCGTATAGAAGCCGAAACGTTGTCTCCCCTCTAGAAACAATCAGGAGCACTCCATAAAAGCTAAAATTCCACTATGTACACACTGTATGAAAGACCTTTGAAACAACAAATAATTAGGTTTAAGTACGTGTGTAATACTTGAACCATATCTTGAACCATATCTTCCAATACCCAGAATTCTATAACAAAGAATAAAGATCTGTCAAAACAGGTATGTAGACCTAAATACACGTGTATGTATCTCTCTGATTTGGTTAATTTTTAGATATTCTTATATTCAAAAACAATGTTTAACACATCTTAATTAATATTAATTTCTGATCAGATCAAGCTGTGTACTTAGAGAGAAACTAAAAATCAACATGGCAATCATTACAGCTAATCAAATATACGTTTCTACTTATAAGGATTAAGATGCAATCTTTGATCAGTTTTAACGACATTTTCGGCCGTAATCCCATTAATATCTCACAAGGTTCTGCCAGCTGAAGATATTTAAGTTAGTCCTAACTACACATATCAAGCTAACAAAGTAACAACATTTATGATAAAATTATAATAATAAACAAGAAACCAAAGTAAAAAAAAGTAATGGCAATCGATATACTAAACAGCATAATCAATATTCTTGAATTAATGAAGGTAACAATAGATAAATATGATGATATACCTTACAGATCAGTGTTTTGTTAGCAACGTTATCTTTACATTGAATCGTTTTTCTGCTGTTCGTTTAATTCTCAACCGCACGTAAACATTTTACCAGAGACACTCGTCTTGCTGCAGTCACGTGGTTGTTTCTATGGTGACGGACACTTGTGTCGTGCTAGGACATCATGCACAATGAGCCTCTGAAGTTGGTTATTAATTAAACATATCGTAACTTTACTGTTAAATACGGACCAGAAGTCCGTCAAAACAACAGGATGAAACTATTACGAGACTAGCAAGTAGAAAGATTTGCCGACACTAACCGATTGCTCAGATGAAAATAGAAATTTAACGCACTCAGTCGTTACAGGTATATTTGTAATTTACAGTTTTGAAGAAAAAAAACATAGAACGTTGAAACTAAGAAATATTGTGATAAACTAACGTAATTAATACCCCATTTCTATCGAATCTCATCTTTGTATTCTGTTTAGCAGCTTAATTAACCCATTGAATTGTTATTTTGGCTCGCAGTATGTCTAGCAACATTAAAGACTTCATGAATGGCTCTGATGCTCTAGGATTCTTAGTGTCCACTAAAAAGATACCGGTGCTGATCCAAGATCCTATGTCGATATCGTGGGATGATGCTACTTGGATCATGACCAGTTCTTTCATCATTTTCACCATGCAGTCTGGTAAGTTTAGTTTTGAATTTTGTTTTCAGAAATATTTCATCTAGTATCTAGCATATAGATCTGGTCACCATTACTAGTTCACTATTTTGCTGTATATCTACCTGATCACTCAGAGAAGTTCTCAGATAAATAAGTGTAATTGTCCATACCATTTGTTTTTTTAATGTTCTCGGTAGATGTGGAAAGCAGGTGCTCGACTTAGTGAAATTCTTTGTAGGTTCAATTAGCTAACAAATACGTATGGAATTTGATGTTTCCAACCTGAACGGTTTTTTATGTGACAAATGGGCTAAATGGCTGGGTCAGGAACCCGAAGGTTCAGGCAAGATCACTTCTACTTTCAAACTGCTGACCAGAAATAGTTCAACCAGTCAACAGCAATTTCTCTTAACCGAATCGATAAGTTGGATGTCACATTTACAAATCCCCCTCAACTGAAAGTATGGAGCGTGATCGGCGGGATATAGTGGCTCTAACCTTGGACCTTCCAATCTGGAGTCCTGTATCCTAACCAATAGATCACGCCCGACCCATTACACCCCCACTACTAGCTTACATTTTTGGAACAATATAAAAAGAGTCTTTGTTTTTGTTTTGTTTTGAATTTCGCGCAAAGCTACACGAGGGCTATCTGCGCTAGCTATCCCTAGTTTAGCAGTGAAAGACTAGAGGGAAGGCAGCTAGTCATCACCACATCCCCTCAACTCTTGGGCTACTCTTTTACCAACGAATAGTGGGATTAACCGTCACATTCAACGACCCCACAGCTGAAAGGGCGGGCATGTTTGGTATGACGGAGATTCGAACCCGTGACCCTCAGATTTAGAGTCAAGCACCCTAACCACCTGGCCATGCTGGGCCTATAAGCAGAGTCAAGAGCCTCGTGTAGATGTCTCCATATATTTGCTTTACACTCAATAAATGGACTCATTAGACCACACACGGGCTTCCAGCCTTTCATTACCCATAATAAATGGACTTTCTTAGAGATATGACTCAAAAGAGTAATCACTTATATTCTAAAAATTTCGTAAGATTACACAGTAAAAAGGTTAGTGGTCTGGAATTCCCTTCAAACTTAACCTTTCTTAACAGTCAAAGAAACTTCTCGTTTCGTAAAGATTTATAATCAGAGCCCGCGGGATATGATTCAAATTAAAGAGTTGGCTATTCACAGAAAGCCCAGGGCGTATATTTGTGTTAAAATAAACTTCACTCAGTACAACATACTGGCAGTTAAAAGAAAGGTGTCGCTGTTGTGCAATTAGGCCTCACTGTGCAAGTATAGAAAATATACTTTCTTCAGTTGTCTCGATTTAATAAGGTACAAGGTTCGAGACATGATGCTGCTTAACACGTTCTACACGTGGGCGCGTTATGAAAGTGGTATTCAGTCCTGTAATTGGGCTTCTTGTAACGGCGGATGTTGTTGCTGGCTGCCCTCCTTCTGATCACTAGTTCAAAATTATGGTCGTTTAGCCCACGTACACATAGGGTACCCACCTTTAGTTTTATACAACAACGACAAAATAACAGAATACAATGATATAATTTTGTTAGAATAAAACGTATATAGGTGAATTTAGTTTGAGAATTTCTTCACCAGATGTTTTATGCAATATTTCTATCAACTGTTATGGAACAAAATAAATATCATAGTTTAATTACATATTTTATCATAGTTTAATTATCATATTAATTAGGTAAGAGAAACTTTGAGTTTAGGGTTAGCCTGATATCAGTAAATTGTTTCTGTAGGAGATCACTGATGGCTTGTCCAGTCCTATTTTGCGAGAAAGTGCAACTAGCAACTTGTCCAGTCTTGTTTCGCCGGATATTGACGAGTAGATAAATACTCAATCCAATTTCGCGGCATTACCTTTATAATGCATTATCTTACTTTACTTATCTTGCTATTGTGTACGTTTTTCAGTTCGGGGATCCTTCTTCAGATAGAACTGTTCCATGCAGATTGATCAAAGTTAATATTTGGATAAGCAAAGGAAAAAAATTATGAAAAATAAAATCTATCTTAAAAACATTATATTTATCGTATAGTGTGTGTGTATCTGTCTTGTCTTCTGTGTTTGTGTGTGCTTGAAAATAAAGCAACCAATAGAGGATAAAATAAACACGTGTAACTTGATACAATAGTACCTATTATACCACACATGTGCGTGAGTCTAGTATGTTGACTGAAGGTGTTTGTATCTGTCTATTTTGATTATAGATCAGTAGAAAATTCTTCTTTACTGTGAGTTAATAGCAAATATTTCCATCTCTTGATATTTCGTTAGCTGTTTGCCAGACCCTGTTAAAAAGAACATCTGATGATCATAGTTAGTTTGCCTGAACTAAAACTTACACATAGAACTAGCACGTTAAGGAAAGTAATACTACATTATTTTCTCCTCAGAATTTTACTGCGCGAATGTTAATACACAGAGAAGAAAATATTATTCGTACACATTTTAGTTTTCAAAAAAAAAGATAATATATCTTGAGGCACAGAAAAGATGAAGGCTGTTTACGCTTATCTTACTATGCTGGGAAAAAAGTTATTTTATGTTAGGATACAGAAAGCAAAAGTTAAGTATGCTTTTCTTACGTCTCCAGCTAAGGATGATTTGTGTTAAAACGTAGAAAAGATGAAATCCGCGTATGTTATGTTTCCTCCTACGAAGTACTCTGTATGCTAAGACAAAAAAAGGGGGAAGCTACCCCTCGAGTTAAGGGGGTTTTTGATGTTTTTTTTATATAAATACCCGGAAAGGGAGAAATGTTCAATATGTCTATTCAGTCGTTAAATATGACATACTGATTGCAACATTTTCAAACATGATATGAGAGGTACGGGGGGAGGGGGGGTATACTTAACATTTTATATGAGCAAACTTTCCGAATCAGTAGCTTCTTTCAGTAACCAAACTATTTCTTTTTCTTACTTTGCATCAGTTAAGTTCTGATTTTGGCTATTCGTGCAAACCATCAATTAAGTTCGGATCTAGGCTATTCGCGCAAAGTATCGGTTAAATTCGGATTTTGGATATTCGCGTAAAGCATCAGTCAAGTTCGGATCTCAGCTATTGGTGTAAACCATCAGTTAAATTCTGATTTTGGATATTCGCGCAAAGCATCAATCAAGTTCGGATCTAGGCTATTCGCGCAAAGTATCAGTTAAATTCGGATTTTAGATATTCGCGCAAAGCATCAGTTAAATTCGGATTTTGGATATTCTCGCAAAGCATCAGTCAAGTTCGGATCTCGGCCATTCGCGCAAAGCATCAGTTAAATTCGGATTTTGGATATTCTCGCAAAGCACGAATAGCCGAAATCCGAACTTGACTAATGCTTTGCGCGAATAGCCGAAATACGAATCTAACTGATGGTTTGCACGAATGGCCGAAATCCGAACTTAACTGATGGTAAACCATCAGTTAAATTTGATCTCGGCTATTCGTGTAAACCATCAGTTAAATTTGATCTCGGCTATTCGCGAAAAGCTAATCAATAGTATCTGCGCTAGCCGTCCTCAATTTTAAACTGACAGATTACAGGGAAAGCAGCTAATCAAAGGCACCCGCCGTCAATTCTTAAGCTATTCATGACCCATGACCCCAAAAAAGCATAGGGTGTTATTGTTTGCTGGCGATAACGAAACCCGAACCATGGACTCGCAGATCCATCATTTGGCACACTAACCCCTGGACTATATTCACAATATAAGGCTTACAAAACTGTAAAATAAGCATAGTTCCCTTTTTAAACGCTAAATTTTCAGACTTTTTGCAACTTACTAATCTGTCGGGTCGCATGATTCGTAATCACCACATTTAGTGTTCATAACATTCCAGCGAATGTTTTACTGGAGATGCTGAAAAAGTAAAATAAAAGCAAAACATGTTGTTATTGTTTTATAGACTTATTCTAATTTCGAAATACGTCGTGGCTAATCGGCGGTCACCTAAATAAAGAGCAGAAAAATTTTTATATATGTGTTACGAAAACTCTTTTGTGAGATTCCCACACACACGAGTCCCTCGGTGGCACAGCGGTTTTTAAACCCCTGACCAAAAGGAAAGGCAGCCAGCCAGTAGTGTAGTACTCACCGCCTCAAGGGTTTTGTCCGTCTCTTGGAACCAAATAACGGGATTGATTGTAACTTTTATAAAGCCTGAAAGTATGTAATTGTATTCAGGGGTAACCCGTCTTGAATTTTAGGCCATTTCATTTATAGTCTGACGCGTTAAACAATATATATATTACTTTCAAAATGTTGATAATTTACAAGTGTCAGGAAGCCGTAACTTACCAAGTCCTTACTTAAACCTCATCACAAAATAATTTCTCTGTCTTAAAGCCCCCCAGTGGCACAGCGGTATGTCTGCGGACTTACCACGCTAGAAACCGCGTTTCGATACCCGTAGTGGGCAGAGCACAGATAGCCTATTGTGTAGCTTTGTGCTTAACTTCAAAAACAAAAACAAACAAACTCTGTCTTAAAAAGTCCGTACTTAAACCTCATTACAAAATAATTCTGTCTTGAAAAGTTCGTTTTAACGGCTAAGTCTGAAAAGAAGTTCATTTAAACATCATAGCATATTTATAGGCTAAACCTGGAAGGGGTAAGGTAACTCTTTGAGTTATCGTAATGATAAAATCGAAAAGAAAAGGGGTCGCATAACTCAATAAAAACATGACCTTATATGGGGTTTTCTATAAAACAAAATTCCTCGTTGTTATCTTACTAAGATATTCTAAAAATTCCCAATCTGTAAATCGAGAACCATTGGAGTTGCAACATGTTTCAGTGAAACTACAGCACATACAAACATATTCTCTTTCAAATGATTTAATATCCGAAAAGTGCCAACACTGATGTAAAATGACAGCAGCAAAAGGAAGTGACTGCAAATAAAAACAAAATAGGTAACAGTAACGCGAAACGAAAGTAACTTTATATATTTCTATAGAGTTAGTAGGAGGGGGTCCTCAGTTAAGACGCCCAAAAAGATTTGGAAACCCCTGGTATAGACTATAACTTGCTTCGAATCAATTTCTACATTATTGGAAATCAAAGTCCTTTCAAATTTCCTTTTACAAACCTATTCATAATAAATATGAAGCTTGATGTATTATTCGGTTTACCCTTTGGCATTGAGTCATGCCGGTTTCGGAGAATTCCACCCCTCATTAGTAACCATGGGCAAGGGCAAATCGAAAGAACCAGACTAGAGTTCTTACAGTGGTGGACTGTATATTATGCATATAGTGTTTTGAGGTGTCTTTTGCTCACCATAGTGAGAATATTAAACAGCTGATCCGCTGAATAATTCCCAAGAATAAGTTAGTAACATGAATGTTGCATGTGTGTGATATTTTACATAAATATAGATTCACTGTGGCGAGTAAATGTCATCTCGAAATACCATACATATATTTATCTTCTTGTTCTTCATATCTGTAGTTCACATACTGCAGTACAATTTATACCTTAACCAGCACGTTATTTTTTAGATGCTTATTCTCTTTACCAAAAAGAGGGCGTAACTCTCTGTTGACCAGCCACTTCTTCTGAGGGACTGGAATGAAATAGCGTTAAAAAACAGAACAAGCTAGTTAATACTTTTTTTTGCTTTGTTACGTCATTGGCGTTTTTTTCATTGATGTTTCCAAAACTAGATTCCTTGTCACAACCTTTCCTATTTAATTTCCAAATTGGCGATGTCCCATTTCAGATCTCAGATACAGTCAAATATATTGGTTTTCTTTTCGACAAACATTTGACGCCGAAGGCTGAGACGACAGCTCTTATCCAAAAAGTCACTTCTCGTCTACCTCTCCTCGGTCAGTTGTCAGGAACATTCTTGGAGAACCTTCATTCGACCCTGTCTCACGATCATACTGGCTGGTTTTCTGCTCCCTTCAACATTTACCATCGACTACATGATCTGGAACGACATGCCCTTAGACTTGCTTTTCAGATCAAACTACCTAATCGCACACAAGAATTACATGAACGTATCAACTTCCCATCGATCCTCACCTATCACCTACATCAACTTCCCATCGATCCTCACCTATCACCTGTATCAACTTCCCATCGATCCTCACCTATCACCTATATCCAACTTCCCATCGATCCTCACCTATCACCTGTATCAACTTCCCATCGATCCTCACCTATCACCTATATCAACTTCCCATCGATCCTCACCTATCACCTATATCCGAAACCCTCGCATCAGGTATGATCAACAATATTTTCTCAATCAAACAGTCATACTTGCTGATTGTCTTGTATACTCTCACCCCAGTTGATCATTTACAGAACCTCTAAATCGTGTCGCTTCTTCCACCTGATGATCCCGATCGTAATGATTCCCCTCAACCAAACCCACCCACTAACATTTTTCCAAAGATGATGTATTGATCATCTGACCATTTATGTAACTCATTGTTATTGGGTTACTTCTTCCAATTTGTACTCTGTACCAGTGACATGTCCTTGCTTCCAATAAGTTTTCATATCGCCGTAACATTTTCTTCGTGTCTTCTTACACATCAGGTATATATCCTCAGTGCTTCGGTTTTCACCTGTATTTTGGCCGAAGAGAGGACGTAAGTTCCTGATGACCCGCCAGCTCCCAAGGATGCAATGAAATAAATAAATGTGGTATATTTTGCCGACTCATCGAGTTAAAAAGATTGTGAACAACTGGTTGATTAGATACATGGGCATGACTGACAACAGCTCTCTAAAACTACGTCAAATGTTAGTTTCCATGCCAAAATGATTTAAGTGAATTATTTCTTTAATTCAATGAGTTATAAATACATATCAGTCATAAAACAATTTTCGACGAAGTGTAAAATATACGTGGCTACAAATAATTACCCTCTCTCTCTTGTTGTGAAGCCGAGTATAACGAACCATGCATGAGATCTTAATTACTCAGAACTTATACCTTGCAAATAATCAAAATTGTACACGTGTGAATATATGTTTATTGTCATTAAGAGTTTTAGACGAAAAGTAAAATATGTTTTGGGTAAATTTATTTATGATCCTACTGACCCCTACATGATAAAGTTTCTAGCACAACTTATTTTTACGTTTATGATTACTGATTACTAATTATTTCTCTACTTCGTTCAGAAGTTGTATTTGTATTTAAAATACATCACGATTAAGTAAACAAATTTATATTTCTACAATTCACAGGATTTGGATTACTCGAGTCTGGCTGTGTCAGCAAGAAAAACGAAGTGAACATAATGGTAAAAAACGCCGTCGACGTCATATTTGGAGGCCTTGGTTATTGGATGTTTGGGTACGGGATGAGCTTTGGACAAGGCGCAGGCACAAATCCTTTCATCGGAATAGGATCTTATTTTATTGACGCCGATGAGAAAGAAATGGGATCTATTTTTGCTACTTACATATTCCAACTGTCTTTCGCTACAACTGCAACAACAATAGTCTCTGGAGCTATGGCGGAGCGATGTAATTTCTTGGCTTACTGTATTTTTTCTTTCTGTAACACCGCTGTATTCTGCATCCCAGCTGGTTGGATATGGAGGAAAAATGGGTTTCTCAAGACACTACACGTTGTGGACATTGCTGGATGTGCTTCAGTACACCTAGTAGGTGGCGCCTCTTCCCTGGTGGCAGCCATCATGCTCAAACCTCGAACAGGTCGTTTTGATCATGGCATCGAACCTCCTCCTATGGGATCCCCGACAAACGCTATGGTTGGAATGTTTATGCTGTGGTAAACCAGTTTTAGGTCTTATTTAGGGTTAGATAACACAATAACGTACATATTCAGGAACTAAGCAATAGTTGACCAAGGTTTAAAGAAAATATTACTTTGTATGTAGAAAACGTTTTTTAATGTTCGTTTTTTCGTTGTTGTTCTTTTTTTTTTAGATTTGGGTTTAATTTCCAGTAAATTCCTATTTAGTTTTATGTTTTTTAGTGTTCAGTCGTGTTAATTACTTTTGTAGTTAAAATAATAATAAAAGTAATAATCAGGTATTCTTTATTTATATTCTGCGATATGAGGTTTATTTCGTGGACACCAATGCTTAGAGTTATATGTAATCATTACTTTATAGTTTAGAAATAGCAGAAAATAATATTGAAAAGCCATATATTGATATAAAACTAAACTACGATTGTCTGAGTCTTTGCTATTATTTTTATTTTTAAAAAGAAAAATGTAGGGGAATTTATCAGATATGAATCAAAGGAGCAATGGTTGTTAGGACTGAAAATTACAGCCGGCAACATTATGATGATAATGATTACAAATTAACAGTCAGAAAAACGTAAACTCAATGGTTTAATGGATACAAGTTCGTAACTTACATGGTGGTTATTCATCTACCACATTTAAACATAAATTATTTTTCTACGTTTCTTCAAAACATTTCTACACTTTCAGGACAAGTTGTATTCTAAGTCTCCTTATTTTCCCCTTTAGTTGATATGTATCGAGATTTCTGTTTGATCATTTTAAGATGGTCAAGTTCCTAAGAGCATGAACATCCGCGCCGGGGGGGGGGGGACTTACCCCCTGGAAAATTAGAAACATCATTCTTTCTTTATTCGTTCAGCATATGTATATGAATTTCTTATTAAACCTTCTGTCTAAGAAAGATCTCTGATAATTGAAATGACTATCATCTTTCACCTTTATGGGAAGTTTAACATTTATAAATATACTACAGTTATTATATTAGAAGCATCTGGTTACATTTCAAAACGGGCCCGGCATGGCCAGGTAGTTAAAGCACTCGAATCCCTGTCACACCAAACATGCTCGCCCTTTCAGCCGTGGGGGCGTTATAATGTGACTGTCAATCCCACTATTCGTTGGTAAAAGAGTAGCCCAAGTGTTGGCGGCGGGTGGTGATGACTAGCTGCCTTCCCTCTAGTGTTTCTTACGCTGCTAAATTAGGTACGGCTAGCGCAGATAGCCCTCGTGTAGCTTTGCGCGAAATTAAAAAAAACAAGCAAAAACAAAACATTTCAAAACGAACCGGAAAGCATAATTCTTAACAAATGTGAATTTAGCATCTTAAAAATCAACAATCCTAGCAAATATAAATTTTGAAGAAAAAAAACAGACGTATAAGTCTGCAGGCTTACGACGCTAAGATTTGGGTTTCGATACTCGTGGTAGGCAGAGCACAGATAACCTGTTAACCTTATATTTCATAGCACAGCACCCATACCCCTGGTATTTTCAGCGTTACGTTTAAGGGTTTATAAAGCTAAAACTAGAGGTTCGATCCCGGTGGTGACCACAGCGTAGATAGCCCATTGAACAGCTTAGCACTTAAATTATCATGGTATATAACGCCTTGTGTTGGTAAAATGTGATCGGTAATTTGTGTGTGTGACATCACAATACGAATGATAACTATATTTCAATAAATCTCTCTTCAGTGGTCCTATACTACTGGTTTCCAATGAAAAGAAACTTGGCAACCTTGTGCGCCGTACATCACTACCGACGAGACCTTTCGCTCAATACCATGACATGAATTCGCAGCGTTAGCCACCTTGTCTAGAGGAATCTGGGGAAAATGTCACCCACGATTTTTTATGAGCCTAAATGGTGTATTTTGAAGGACTAAATTAGCGCATTATGATGACTAGTTAGGCATAGTTATACATTCTGATACATTCGTTCACATACAGATATCTGAGGCAACGCTATTTAAACGCTATGAAAGAAACAAACCCGAAATGGTCTTACTGGAGCTGTTAACTGCATGTTTCTATTGCTTGCATGCCTTAGTAAAAGCCAGATTTATTTTCGTGTTTCTATCTTCTTTTGCTGCTGATATAACGGATTTGACCCCCTTGTCGTCCATCTTGAGGATCGTTTGCTTATATGTAACAGTAAGAACAGTACACACAATGGCCAATTTAAACAAAATCTTGCCGAAAAAACAAGCTGGTGTGACGTACAACTTAATATAACACTAGTGTCATAACAACAACTCCTAAACGCACAAATTCACAAAATAATGTACCGCCCCGTAGCTCTATACTGCTACAACAAACAAATAAACATGGGATTGGAATGCGTTGCCGAGCATTCTTGCCCTTTATACATTGGGGCGTTATAATGTGACGGTCAGTCCCACTATTAGTTGGTATAGAGTAGCCCCAGAGTTGGTGGTGGGGGGTGACGACTAGTTGCCTTCCCTTTAGTCTATCACTTCAAGATTAGAAATGGTTAGAGCAGCTGTTCTACACATTCGCGATAATGTTTCAGACTGGCTAAATCTCCCGTTACTTAGTTGAATCCCTAACATCAGACTTACGCAGACGTCAATTAACGCTAACGACGTGACTGATCATTCCCATTGAACCGTAATAGAGTTTGTAACCTCGAGATATAACCCGATCTTCTAGTGCAGAGCACTGCTATCGAAAGTTCACGCACAAGACGCAGCTTTATAGCCATGGGGAGATTATGAGTCATCTCCAAGGCAATGACAAAAAAACAAAGGTAGCTTGGACGAAATTAACTTAACAGATTTCTTAACCGCATATATCTTGGATAAACGAAAAAGTTTGGAAAATTATACATTAAACTATAAAGACAGAAACGCATAATTAGCCAGGATACAGTATCTGTTCCCAGTTCAGTCATACTCTATCTGTTGTTAACAACAGTCCTGCAACGTAGTTTTAATTGCAATGACATAAGTTGGTCATGTCCAAAGCACATCACTCCTCTCTGTCAGCTTTCAATATTCTATCTAGTTTACCAGTATAACGTTCTCCCAGCGTCTGTTTCAGCAGTTCAATAGCACAGAAACACATAGCTACTGCTTCTAGCGTCTTGATATGTAATATCTACCCTTTTCATTCTCAAGCTGCTTGAGGTACATAGACGTTGAACGAAGGTATGACTGGAAGACTTATACTGGTAAACCATACCTAGTTGGCCTCGCTTCCAGACAGAGATCCTTCTCAATTGAGTTGAGTACTTTTGCCTGGTGCACTAGATAGCTTTTGTCGATAACCTCTGTGTTCGTAGATATTGCAACACACTGCACTTTGTTCAACACAGGTACGACTTGTTGCAGGTCTCTTTCTGATTCAGGTTTATCCATATTTTTTTGCTTTCCAATGCCATTAAATAGAAGAGATATCCCGTCTTGAAAATTCTAAGTCCCCGAATTTATCACATTTTTGGCGGCATCACATTACCTACGAAAAGTCAAACATGCCGGCTGTAGTTGTCGCGTGGCTTGCTAATTTGCATGTTCAGAATCGTTTCAGTATAATATACTCAGCCTACTGCTAATACAGAATTTGTTTGTTTGCTATGATAATGGTCAACAAGATTGTTCCTGCTAGCCAGTAACGTGCATTTAAAACACAATAATTAGCTGAGAGAAGTACAATAATATATTTTGTTAGTATCTTTTTGTTGTGTTTCATAATGTTTGTAAAACATGTAGATTGAAAAAAAAAAAATCAGCTTAACACAAAAATACAAAATCCCATAGTCCGAGCACCTTCGAAGGGTGGACCTATCTTTATCAGAGGCAAACTGGCATTTTTATTCTTATTAAGCAAAAAATTATGGTTAGACATGGCTAACCAAGGTTGGCGGTGGGTGCTGCCGGCTGCTTGCCTACCTTGTGGTCGGTAATTCAAAAGTAGGTTCGGGCGGCCATAAACAAAGAAATAACTGAATGTTTATTACTTGTACCCAACGTATGTGTACACATGTACAGTTGGAGAGATTATGTCTTCGATCACTAGCATCTCAATTACTTCCCTTTGTTCAGGGATTTGGTCTTATGTTGATTCCGGTGCAGTCTTGTCAACTGAAAGGGATTATTTTGTCGTTTTAATTCTCCATGGTCTCACAGCTACAGACTGGATCATAAACCTTTTATCGCTGAAACGTATTAATCGGATTGTTTGTTTGTTTG